TCCCCTGTCCATTGTCGTGGCTGATATTTTGTGAAAATCCGGGAGAAATGCCACACTAATCGACTCAGAAATACTCTGCAGAGAGTCAATCGAAATGAAAGACGTAGAAACTAAGCTCCGCGAGGCTTCGTTTGTGAGACATTTCGAGGGCGTTTCTCGGCGGAGCTCGGTAAGGTCCATTGAAGGGCATTTGGAACTGGATTTGTTCCATTGTCTGAAGTGTTTTCTTTTACAGTTTGTATTTGTTGTGCGTTATTGAAGTTACTAATTTATTTTTGCATTGCATGTTTTATTTCTTTTGGAATAATTGAAATAGTCATTTGTTTCACATGTTCCAGGGACCGAGTAGTAGGCCTGAAGCCTCGTTTTTAAAAAGAGAATTGTTTTAAGGAAATTGTTTAATAAAATATTGTGCACTGCTCAGTCTGTTCGGGTGTATCTTGTAACTTTTAAAAAGATCTCCTCCACCTGCTGGTCACAATAAACATTCAGTCCGTTACGATATCAGGGTTTTAGGCTTGATATTTATTTTGCGATCATTAATAAGCGCTCCCCTGAACACAGCGGAGGTTGATTAGTTAATTTTAAACTCCTGCTCTGCTAGTTATTTTGGTAATAGAACTGAAATGCACAGAATTGCGCAACACCTGGTTGACTGGTTGAAACGATAATTACTGATATTATTGTTGTTGGGTCATTAATTTGAACACGTTTAGTTGATTTTTCATTGTTGTTGTTTTAATAAAGTTACGAACGTTTTTAGCCAGTCAGAGGAGGACGTGCTGGTCTCAGCGTCCTGGTGGCGTTCAGTTTGTCACCTAATGCCGAGATCGACTCAAAACCTTCCGCGATCCACGTGTTGCACCGCTGCTCTAGCAAAGCACGAACAGTTCAGAAACAATATAAAATGGGAAAAAAGCTATTAACGTGTTTTAGATTGTTCTTGAAAAACTAATCAGTCACGGCTGATGTGTCGGTGTCAAACTTTGAAGTTCATTGAAAAATATTTGCATTAAAAAGTATTCAATTATTCTCCCAAAATATAAAGGTTTGAAGTTTGTTTTTCACATTGATTCTGATTTCAGATCATTTGAGGTTGTTAATTTTCAGTTTTGTGTTTCTGTTAGATGCCTTTTGCGTTTGTTTCTGTGTTAATTAAGCCACTTCCTCTCAGCTCGTCAGTTCAGGTTCTGGGTGCTCCTGGTCAGTCTCACCTGGTTCTCATCCACATCCCCAGCAGCTAGCAGGGACCTTGTTGGTTCTGGTGTCTCTCATCTTCCTCTTAACAACACAGATTTTCTACAGTGTTTAGGTCAGTGGAGTTTTCCTGGCTAATCGAGAACGGGGACACTATGGTCATTGAACCAGCATTTGGAATCTCTGACAGTGCCAAGTCCTGCTGGGAAGTAAAATCAGCCTCTTCATTAAGCTTGTCAGCAGAGGGAAACATGAAATGCTCTGGCGGACTGCTGCATCGATTGTGGATTTCAGAAAACACAATGGACACTGCTGGTCGACACCAGCAGATTACATGTCACCTCAAATCATCACTGGACTTCAAGCAACGTGGATTCTGTGTCTCTCTGCTCTTCCTCCAGATCCTGGGAAATTGATTTCCAAATTAAATGCAAAACTTTCATCTGAAAACTGGACTCTGGATCATTGCTTAACGTTGCAGCTCCTTTCCTTCTCCGTCCAGGTAAGACACCTCTGACGCTGTCTCAGGAGTGGCTTGACAAGGGGAGTATTTGTGTATGTGAGGCGGCTCTTAATATACCGACTCCTGCTTCAGCCATTTCACTTCACAATCCTCTCAAGAATGGGGTTCTCCCTGATGAACACAACACAAAAATAGCTTATAATCTCTCTGACGAAACAGTGTTTAGCATACCTGTTGTCTTTTCTCTCCTGCACTATATTCCTTTGGCATTTTAAGATGTACTGCTTCTATCAAACCAGTTCACTTAGAATAAAGGAAGAATATTTTTTACTTTGTGAAAGCTTTCCGGTCTTTTTTTCTTTTTTCTTTTGAAAACACGATTTAAAAAAAAAAACATACTTTTGCATTAACCCAAGTTCATGTATAAAAAAAATTATTAACTTCTCAATACATTAGTAATGGAAAATAATAGTCAGAGCCTCTCCAACACTCGGCATCTCAAAACTACATTTAAAACCTCATGTTTATTCTTTGGCTTTTAAACCAGACTGAACTGTGACAATTTTGTCTTATTAGCAATATAAGCACAAATGATCGTTGTACTTTTTAGTTTTTACTGCATTATTATTTGTCATCGTTGTTATTTGTACACTCTTGTTGTTTATAATTGTTCTCATAAACAAATTGGATTCGATTGTGATCAGTTAACAACACCAGAGCCAATATTTGATCTCAATCATATATAATCATAGCTAAGCTTCAATCATAGCTAAGCTATAAGGTTTCTGGTTGAATCCTTCCCTGCCATTCACACCCACAGACTAACACGTTTTCCTGAGGTTTACCTTGGCTTCCTCCATCTATCATTCCAATAACCCTCCATGAGGATTGCATGGTATTAGTGGTTGGATGTAATGGATTTGTATGCTGATTGATTTGCAATCTTCGATGGCCACACAGCTCTTAATCTCCAGTCTCACAGCAAGGGTTTGCAGTCGTGTTTGAAGAAGCTTCAGTTTTAAAACACATTGTCCAGAACAGAAGCAGGACTATTTCTCCAAACCAAGACAAAACAGCATGCAGTAAAAAGCACTGTTTGTACTGTTCTATAAAACTGATGTGATTTATTTTTTAAGGTTGAGACTTCATAAAAATGCCTAGAGTTTTAGATTACATGATGATTATGCTAAAGGAGATTTTATTTAAATCTGGAAAGACTCAGACGAAGAAATCCTTTTATGCAGAGCTTGATTGATGATTGGGTGAGGTCCAGTGCTGAGGTCGGAGATGAGCATAACGCCGATGGGCAAACGGAGGGGATGGAGTCTTCCAGGTTGAATTTTTGCTATCAGCTACATTTCATGTGTGATGTTAAAAACAACATAAATTTGTTGTCGAGATGGTCACATATTGCGTAAACATCTCACTGCAAGCTTGTTTGGTGTTAAAAATATTCAGATGTATCTTTTTTTA